ATAAAAAATATAATAACAAGTGAAAAAAAAAAAAAGTGAGAGCGTGAGAACCAACCTATCTACCCAGTGAAGGTAACTGTGGTCAGGCTGATAAGGTAAAATAGAAAAGGTAAAAGGAAATCAATGTTCAGTAAAAGGTTAAAGCCATCCGTAATCCTCTAATCCCAGGACCCTGGAAGGCTGAGGCAGAAGAATTCTAAATTCAAGCACAGTTTGGGCTACTTATTAAATTAGTAAATCCTATCTCTAAAAAAAAAAAAACCAGTAAACATCGGCTGGAAAATAAAATAAAATAAAATTTTTAAATGCTGCAGATGTAGCTCAGTGTGCAGGGCTTGGGTTCAACTCAAAGTAGGAAGGGGAAAAAAAGAAAGTTAAAGCACGTTGCTGGCAGAAACCCTCAGAGGCATCAGTGTCGAAAGGAGGCCGTGAAACTCTGGGGTCAGTCATGCACAGGCTCCCAGAAGAAGCTGGAAGGTGACCACAAATGCCAACACTACCTTCTTTCTTCACTTTGGGAACAGCATTCTGAGATTCCGACCACCGCCCGACAATCTCCTTGCAGATGGTAAGGAGGGAGTCTTCTTCCTAGTGGGAAGAGTAGACCAATTAATATCCTGTGAGTTTAAGAAAGCAACAGCCACCTCAAGAAGGGCTGCAGGAAGCACAGCGCTCCCAGAGGAAGAAAAACCGGAAGGGTCCAAGCCAAGAGGTAGAGCAGGACTCCAAACATGTGACAGGGCCAGGGATACAGCGCCGCTGCACAGTGCCTGTTTAGCATGTGTGATGCCCGAAGTTCAATTTCTAGTACCAAAAACAACCCTTTGTGACAGATTCAGCCCAGTGCCGCCACACACCTGCAATCCCAGATACTTGGGAGCTCAAGGCTGTCCTGAAAGATACAGTAAGACCCTATCTGAAGAAAATAAATTTCTAAATACATATATATTGCTTTTTTAAAACAATATTTTATTTATTTGACATAGGGTCTCGCTGTACAGCTCAGACTCATAGTGATCCTCCTGTTTCAGCCTCCCTAGTGCTGGGATTACAGGTGTGCGCCACCACGCCTGGTTTCAATGGTCAGCACAGTGCGCCTTGAGTTCCAGGTCTGGCAAGCCATGTAGTACTGGGGTTCAAACCCAGGTCCTTGCGCTTGCCAGACAGGTGCCCTGACCGCCGAGCTATCTCCCCAGCCCCTATATACTGCATTTTTAATTAACAATTAATTGTGGTACAATATAATGTTTTGATTTTCCACTATGGAATGATAAAATCAAGGTAATTAACATCTTCATCTCATACTCATGAGTTTTCTGTGTGAAAACATCTAAAATCTATTTCTGAAAT